TTTATAATCAAGTTTTAATTGAATTTTTAAAAACAAATTGTAGCTAGAATTAAATAAACAACAGAATGTTGTTATATATTTATATTTTTGGGATCTACACTCATCAAACTTGTTAATTTGTAGTGATTAAAGTTATTATAATTTTAAAAAGTTATTCTGAATTTGACTTCTTTGAGATTGAAAAAAGTACTCGATGGTTTTTGAATGTTTAGTAAATAGATAATCATGGCAGAAATGATAGAAAGTAAAAATTTTGCCTAAGATTGTTATTACATTTTATACATTTTATGCCTATTTCAATTTAAAAGAGGAAAGTGCTAAATTGAATTAAAAGTTGAACCTAACAACCTTTATTTAATATGTGATGCTTTAAATCACGGCTTATCAAAAGTAATATTGCTCATTTAGAATGTTGCGCTTTATATAGCTTGACAAAAAAATAGTTTTATCAGATTCATCAAAAACACGTATCGAGATTTAAAAAGTTATATACAGATAATGTAATAATTGTTCTATGCATTAGCGAAAAAATATGTACCTACTCGTCGATTTTTTATGAGAGATGAAGAATAATAAAAGAATAGAATAACATTCTAATAAAGCGACAGAAAGAGTGAGAGAAAGAGAGAAAGAAAGACAGATGGAAAAAGAAAAAGAGAGAGATAAATTAAGATATGGAAGTAGAAAAATAGAGAGAGAGAGAGAGAGAAAGAAAGAGAGAGAGAGAAAGAGAGAGAGAGAGAGAGAGCCTGTTATCGTTCTACTCTGTGAACTTGTGATGCATCAAAAAATAATTTGTCAAGTTCGGAAGTCGACGATGTATTATAAAACGTTGTCTCTTAAAATTTATTATTGCCGCGTGTCAATATAGAACGCGGAGCGCCGTGCATTTTTCTATACAATTTCTTGCTTTCACAATCCCCAGTGCACGACAAATTTCTTTAATTTGTGAAATTTGCGCGTTCCGTTCTCGCGCGTGCTGTTTTTATATCATATAAAAAATTTATATTCGTTACCCACCACCGCTAAAATATATAAACAAATAGTAAATCCCTTGCTGTACGTTTACGCGACTGTTACATTGGATGTATATTGTTTTTCTCTTTTATGTTAAATTTTACCGCCTTATTCGAAATAGGATGAAAAGTATATCCACCGCCAATTAGGCAGTAAAAAAGTCATTGTGAAATTAACAGCTTTATCAAATCTGTATTTATTAGCGTGATTCCGTATTTGGAGTGAATTACGTACAGAGCTTTAAAATGTAATATGCCAAAAATATCTACAAGTTTGAAGTTTGTTTAAATTTTGCAACAAGCTTTGTATCTTTAATTTTGTTACGTTCTTTTTTCAATAATTTGTTGTTCTTGAATGTTTTATGCAAACAACGGAATATATATTGGAACATGACGCAGAAAAGCAAGCTCGAAGGGCTTAAGTCACGACGGCGATTAAAATTCGTTCCGTGTACATTTTAAAAACCAGAAAAGATAAATAAATTTGTAAATAAGATGTTGCGATATAAAATAAGGATTATCAAAGGATATACATTTTTCGTCCTGCTTCGTTGTTATACTTTTGCGTTTGATGCACTTTCAAGAGTATATATATATATATATATAAAGCTAAATAAATATCCATTAATATATGAGCGTTATATCGTAAAATTTTGAAAATATACATACGCCTTGTGATCAAGCAAGGTTTTTTTCCCCAATATATATATATATATAATAAACCTACATCTGTCTGATACAGGACGTTAGAATGTACGACAACACGACAAAAAGATTTTTTTTCGCGATTAAAATAGAATTAAAGGAATTTAAACCGAATCAAAATTCAACCAAATAATTCATTTCTTTTTAATCTAGAAAATTACTCTCAAAACTCTTGAAAAATTTTTGTATTATTTTCTGAGAGCGACTATCATTCAGTAAAGTTTCCCCACTGTACGCACCTATTTGTTTTTCCCGAATAAAGAGAATTCATTTTAGTTTCTTTATATTATAGCGGATCATGCATTATTACATATCGATATCAAATATTTTTGAATAACGAGACTAATATAATAAGAAACAACATAGTATTATGCTCGCTATTTCTGATGGTTGTCAGTGATTATTCGATCGCGACTAATTAATGTGTTTAAATCTTTCTATGTGTATATGTATGTTTAATAAATATAGTACCATCGGAAGAAACTATGAAATTACAATTAGTCCAACAACATATCACAAATACGCTAAAATCCGAGTAGTTTTTTAAGCGCTACGCTGATACCTATTATTTATTGCCGTTCGAGAAACTTTCATCGACTAAATCGTCTATACGAATTATTTGTCAACTAAAATGCGGATTTCACTCCGCGTGCGCGCGATCTGATTTGCGGCATTAAAATATTATCACGGTGTACGAATATCAGCTGTATTGATTTATATATAGAGTGCCTTAAATTCATCAAATATTTTAAACATAAAAATATTTTAAACACATAAATATAGAATCAATTTCCAGTAAAAATTTGCACAAGATATTTTGTTAATATTAAGTTTCAAGACAATATACAACAATATAATAAATTATTATTTTATAATTAATTTCAAATAAACTGTTTCTGATATTTTTATTGAAGTTTAATCATGTAATTAAATTTTTAACGTTAAAAATACTTACAAAAAAGTGGCTCAGAGATTGCCAAAAGAATTGTTATTGAAATATTTCTCTAGATCTTGGCCACTATTTGTATTTTTTTTTTTTTTGCATTAAAAAGCAATAAAAAAAAAAGATTTCTTCTTTCCCATTTTACGAAAAGTTTTTACTGATACGGGAGATTTTTCGTTTTCAATATTAAACGCATGATCGCGTCCAACAAATAACAGTGATTGTATCCAACAATTGAAAAAGCATTGCCTTGTTGGTCGCAAAATTAACTCGATAAATGGTTCGATAATCGCAATTTATTTTCCTCTCTATTTTGTTCTTTTCTATCCCAAATTCTCTGTCTTCCCACCGCGTTTCCTTGTCGTAATACCCAAGTAACATTGCAACCGACCCGAGAATCTTTTTCAGTTTTACGCGAAATACCTATATCTTGTTTTTGCTTTTATCCTTCAACGACTAAATCTGCAAAATCCACTTGCGGTATACAGATTAAGTAAGAAAAACTTGTATTCTGTGTCAATTCAGCTAATATATATACATATACACGCACGTACGTACGTACGTACGTACGTACGTACCTAAGCACGCGCGCACGCACGCACCATATGTACGCACGCACATACGCGCGCGCATATAGGAAACCCTGTATATAAACACATATACATGTAGTATGGTATTAATTGTAGTACATACAAATATAGAATAATTTCTTGTTGAAAAATAGATTAAAATTTTGGAATAAATTCTTTTTGTATGAGGCTTTGTTTTTAAGAAAAGTAATTTTGAAATTTGGTTGAATACATATGCACTCGTATCTATTATACGAATCAGTAAACCGCAATAGGTTACTACTTTTTGACACATAATGTATACAAGATTATAAAATAAACCGTCTGTCAATAAACATTAGTAACGACAACACATGTGTCTCGAATTTTACGTAAAATAATGGCTGGCTTAAAATCTCAGCTGTGTATTTTACTTTCTCAATTACGACTGTCCATCTCTTGAACTTATTATATTAGTTTGCGTAGTTTTACTTTTTTACTATAAATTATAAGAAATAATGGACATCTACCATTTTCACCTTTTATAATATTTCACTGCGTGCACTTATTGATTGTTACACGAATTTTCTAAACTTTGTACTAAAGATTTCTATATTTTTGTATTATTATATTATGTTTAAATTGTAATTATAGGTCTAACACAACTTGCGTAGCTCGATATCCTTTGTGTTTGTATTTATTATTTTATTTATAAAATAAATGTTTTGAGAAAATAAAATAAATCCTTGAATTTTTATAATTTCTTTATTTTATTAATAAACGCGATACAATGCTGGAATTGTCCCCGATTTGCAACGCATTGCTGTGCTTTTCCGCGTTCATGAACTTTTGTTAATGTGGATTGCACTTTTAGGTTTTCAAACACTTGAATGGTTTTTTTCCTAATTGGTTAAGCCTTTAACTATCTGCATTATAAACTAAAGTATCTATAATCCTATAAATAAAATAATGTTGATTTAAAAATTGATGGTATTGCATCGAGTAATCTTGAAGTTCAAGTTCCAATATATGTATACGTAATAGATAAATCTATTACGTAATAGATAAATATATATACGTAATAGATTTATCTGTTACGTAAAATCTATTACGTAATAGATACTACTCCACGATAAATCCAACAATTTTTTTTTGTTTGAAAGTGTCGGATTTCTCGATTAAAATCTAGTAAACCATCATGTTGAAAAATTATGTTTTATAAAAGCTTTAGTTTATGATGCAAATAATCAAAATTTTGATCAATTAAAAAATAAAATTATTCAAGTATTTGAACATCTAAAACCGCTACCCAAATTAACAAGAATTGCGTGAATGAGTCATTGCATAGAAGAGCACAACTATGCATAGAACAATGAAGACAAGAGAGATTTTCAGCATTGTATTCATGAATAAAATAGAGAAATATA